ATCTTTTCTGCTTTAACTGGCTTCCTCCTTGCCGCCTTCTTCAAACCTTAAAATCCTAAAATTAACACCAATTACTTCATCACTGCTGCCTGTAATAGCAGGGAGCTAAAATCAGGAATGGAACCAGGACTTGAACTCAGGCACTCTGATATAGGATACGAGCATCTCAACTGCCACTTTAGTCAAAGGCCAATGCCTGCATAAAGATGGAATTGCATACTAATAGAATGAAAGAGTAAATATACTCTGCCCATATGCAAGTGAGTCTATTTGTTTTGGTTTAAATTTGTGGCTTTCAGCTCCGGCTGCACGTCAGCCATCACCTTTAGAATTTCTAATAGATGCCAGGGCCTGGTCCCCACCTCAAAACAGAATCTGTTGAGGTCATTTTCTAAAAGTTTTCAAATTGATCCTAATGTACTTCCAGGGTTGCAAATTACTTGTGTAGCTGCCACTCTGGCATAACTTAGACTTTGGATATCATGATTTCAACTTTTTTCTTAAAAAAAAAAAAGTGATCCAGTTAGAGACCACGTACCTCTGCTAAAATTTATGGCAGAATCATGTCAAGTATTTTGCAAAGAGAGGAGTTTCTTCCAAGAGTGTTAATATTAATTTGGAAATAGTTAAACTATTTATGCATGCTTGGGCTCTGAAGACATTGATCATCAGGTTCTTTGGAATTTACTTGTCTTCTGGAGGAATAAGAAATTTATCATCTCCCACGCACCCTCGCTGTCTCTGGAATGGAAACGTTTAGCTGTTGCCACAGAGCTTTGCAGATCCCCAGCACTGTTGCTGTGCTCCCCTCTCTTAGCTTCTCTTTGCCTTAGCCTCCAAGGCCCACAACTAGGACTTTCCCTGGAGACTTCTCCTGGGCTACTAAACTGTTGCCTGCCCAGGAAAAGAGCAGGAAATACCAGGGAGATCAGGCTCCTTGCCCCAAGCCCTCAGTCCAGGACTGACAGGTTGAATGAGAGTGTAAGCAAGCCCGGCTCCTTTGTGTAGCTTTCACTGTCAGTGTCCCTGTGGGATTAGGATAAAACCAGCCCTTTCGCTTTCTGATTGCTATCGGGAGAACTTTTAAATCACTTGTATACAAATTCTTATCTCAGAAACGCTTCAGGAAAACACAGTCTAAGGCATTCAGTTATATGGAATTTTATCCCTTCTACCAATATTAAAATTGGATATGGCTTTTAATAACACTATTTACAACTTTTCAGAGGTGGAGAACCAAGACTTCAAGAAGAGCAGGCAAATAACCCTTTAAGAAGTCACTGGGTCGATTTCCTTGGAAACTTGAGAGCTCCTGTGGAGAGGAAACTAAGGAAGAATGAGGAGATGATCAGACAGGAACCAGTCGGCAGTTGTAAGCGGAATGGAAATAGATTTGACCGGTTGGTGCGGGTTGGTATTGCGGAACCCAAAGAGGAAAATAGAGGTGTGACTCGACTGTCAAATCACCTGAAAGTGTGCTGCATGATGCGTAAAAATCCGTTGTGTGTAGTTTTCTGGGGCGTTGAAGAATTGGTTGAGGCAGCGGTGCCGGCCGCCACAAGGTGGTGCTGTGCACTCACGGCCACAAACCGGCTTTGTGGGAGCGTTACAGTTCCCGGCTCCTCAGCGCCCAGTCTTCAAGGGCTCTAACTAGAGGTCTGTCACACTCCAGCCATAGTCAGCCAGCCTGTTATTAGTGCCAAGCCTTCCTCCTGGAGCAATGACAGTGTAAATTTCAGCGACAGCAGAAAGGGGACAAATGCAGCTGTTGTGCATTTCAGAATAATTGCTCCAGGCCATTTGGAGACAGCTTTGTAATAACAGCACTCTTACAGACGCAGACAATATTTCACTCTCCTATTTTTAACCCCCCTCAGCATTCTGTCTCCTGAACTTGTGAATCCATTCAACTTGCTCGAGTTTGGAATTCTCCCCCCCCCCCCCCCAGATTTTACAAAGTGTGGCTGGTGGCCCCCACGAAAGCAGCAGGCTCTCTTTCTCATCTCACCATCCTGCTAACCCTCCTGCTGGGAGCTCCATTCTCCTTCTCCTCCCACAGCTGACTCTGCAGTCATCAAGAATGACATTTGTGAAGAGTGTCCCCTACCCTGCCCCCAAGTCTGGGCTCCTTTATTTACCTCCATCTCATCTAGTCTGTGCATACTTAGCATTTCTCATTGCTTTCTTATTTTTTTATTTATTTGAGAGGTAGAGTTACAAACAAAGACAGGGAGATTCCCCAAATGGCTGCAACGGCCGGAGCTGGGCTGATCCGAAGCCAGGAACCAGGAGCCAGGAGGATCTTCTGGATCTCCCACACTGGTTCAGGGGCCCAAGCACTTGGACCATCATCTATTGTTTTCCCAGGCCTTAGGCAGAGAGCTGGATCGGAAGAGGAGCAACTGGGATGTGAATGAGTGCTCATATGGGATGCCAGTGCTGCAGGTGGAAGCTTAGCCCACTACGCCACAGCTCAGGCCCCCTCTCATTGCTTTCTTAGTGTTTCTTTTCTGTCACCTCCAACTCAAATCCCTTGAGTTTTGTTATCTATATTATATACCCAGTGTCTACCACAATTCCCTACATAGTGCATGGATACATGCTTGAATAAAACAAGCTCTAAATGATCAAAGGCTTTGCAGCATCTTGAGTTCAAAGTAGAGATGAAAATATCCAGAAATTGAAATCCAAATAAATATCTTACTGATTGCTGTGTTTGACCATATCTAGACTTCCCCACAGAAAAATCCCAAGTAGGCATAAATGGTGAAGTCTGGAGCCCTGTTATGAGCCACAGATTGATGCAGGAAGAGCCAGACTTCAAGACCCACATCTGAGTGGAAGGCCTGTGTAACATGGCTTACTGAGTAATGTTACTGAGTAAGATTTTCTGCTGTACTTCACAGTCTAAGCAGTTTCTTGAAACTGAAGTGATTGGGAGCATAAACGCAGAAGCAAGAAGCCTCTGTGTTCCTCCAAGTTCCTTCTGTGTTCTATCTTCCTCCGGCTTTGGAGGGACTTCTTATTCCCAGGGACTGCAAGCTCCTGAACTTGGGACACTCTGAAAGAATGATGTGGAGGCACGATCTGCCTACACATGTGTCTCGTTTTTATCCTTGACAATGCTTGCATGCTGGTTCTGGAGCAAACCAAACAAAAGCAAAGCTTGCTTGGAACCAAGATGCTTTTGACCTACCCTTTGTGAGGTGGGTGGTGAAAGGATACCACATTGGTTATGGTTGTGAGAAAGTTGCTCCCCTCTTGGTGTCATATTTCTTTGCAATAGACAAAATTCTATTCTGTCCATGTGTTAGTTCTTCCTCCCCTCTTTGCCTTCTAGCTTTCTGAAACATTTAATGAGCACTCACTATGTGCCAACCTCTGTGATGGGGATACTGAGATAAGTAAGACAACAGTGTTCTTCCTTCAAGGAATCCACAGAATTCTGGAAGATATAGCAGAGTGAAGAAATACTCATAATATATTTGCAAAAGTCAGTAACAGACATATATACATGAGGGCCTCCTGGGGAGTGGCCATGGTGTGTTTCTGGACATTCAGTAACCAGTTGGTGGGAGGCATCCTGGCTTGTACTGTTTGCTGATTTCCATCCAGCAAATTCTCCCATCATGGCTGACTCAAGACCCCAACTTGAAGTCACTGAATACAGAATTGGGAGGAACACAGTGTCTTTGGACACTGGAAGAGCCAGCTCCTGCACACCACCACAATTTTGGTCTTGTAAAACCCTGAGCAGAGAATCCGTCCTTGCTTGTGAGTGGACTTCTGATCTGCAGAACCATGAGCTAATACATGAGATGTGTTTGAAGCTGCCAAGTGTGTGGGAATATGCTATGTAGCCATAGAAAAGTAACCCAGTGCAGATTAAACCCTTTTAACAGATGTGAAAGCTAAGGCTCAGAAAAACAGTTTTGGCAAGGCTAGGGGAATCTATCAAGTGGTGGAGCTGGCAGGCAAAGAGGTGTGAGTGACTCCAAGGCCTGATACCCTTGCAACTGTGCTCTGTATCTTCCCATAGAAAACCATGACCTATGAACTGTGAAGGATCAGAACCAAGAGGGATTCTGTTTCTTTCTCTGGGCACCAGAAAATGTGCATTATTATTAAAATGCAATTCCAAACTAGAGAGAAATCAAATGTTGAGTGTGGATTTGGGCTTGGAAGTGCTGCCTCAGTGGTTACCTTGATATTCATTTCAGTAGACAACTCTGTAGAGTAACAAATTCCATACGGGACTACTCATTAAACGCTTCTGTTTGGCTAGAGTGTCCAGTTCTGCTTTTCTCCTCCAGCCTGACCAGATGTGCTTGGAAATTCGGTTCCCCCAGAATATTTACATCTGTCAAAATTCCTGTCAATTTCAGCACGACTGCCAAGGGAGTGAACAAAGAGAGTTAGCGATTAACTTCAAAGAACTTTGTTGGAGAGGAATAAAGATATTTAAGGCCTATTTTGTGAACTAATTGCATTTGCATATTTATGGGATTTACTGATATAGCAGTAATTAAAAACTATTTAGTAGTCTTAAAGGACACATAACTCAGTTGCTGTTTGCATAATAAACACTTTCTTATTATGTTTGCATAATAAACCTTCTCCCCCTGCTTCTTCCAAAAGACACTGGTCCATCTGAGAGGTGCCACATCTTCCTGGGAAATAATGGGGAAATATTGTGCAAGACTCGGGGGGATGTGGAGAGGGGACTTCTCAAGGAAATATATTTCTAGCTACTCTCTTAATGACAGTCCTGACCTCAACCGATATCAAGAATGGCAAATTCAGATGAAGTCTTTGTTTCTTTTACCCAAGCGATGATACTGAAGGAACCTGAATGCCTGGCCTCTCGTGACTCCCAAGTTTTTGACTTAAGTATACCGACCTGCTTGAAAGGCCTGAAAGACATCCATGTCTCTTCTCAGTCTTGGTAAGAAGCTAAGGGAGGTCATCAGAAATTGTAACTATAAAAGCTTTCCCTGGGTGCAAAGGGCTGTATTTCAGGAGAATGAGAAGAGCTTTTTTTTTCTTTAAATAAAAAATTAAAATTTGAGTAACGAGGCTGGCGCTGCGGCTCACTAGGCTAATCCTCCACCTGCAGCTCCGGCACCCGGGGTTCTAGTCCCGGTCGGGGCACCGGATTCTGTCCTGGGTGCTCCTCTTCCAGTTCAGCTCTCTGCTGTGGCCCGGGAGTGCAGTGGAGGATGGCCCAAGTGCTTGGGCCCTGCACCCGCATGGCAGACAAGGAGAAGCACCTGGCTCCTGGCTTTGGATCGGCACAGTGCCAGCCGCAGTGCGCCAGCCGTAGCAGCCACTTGGCGGGTGAACCAACGGAAAAAGGAAGACCTTTCTCTCTGTCTCTCTCTCTCACTGTCCACTCTGCCTGTCCAAAAAAAAAAAAAAAAATTGAGTAACAAGTGATACCAAATCTAGAGGTACTGAGTGAATAAATTAAACCCAGACAGGATGGTGAATTGAGAAAAAGAAAGACCAGAGCCAGCCCACAGGACAGAGCAGGGCCATTGAGGAGAGAGCAGGAAGCACCTGTTCCACAAATGACTCGGAGGATGAGTTGCTCACACAAAGCCGTTCTCATCTTGGCAGGAGTCATCAGCCAGTAAGGAGCTATAATGGGCAGGATCACCAGACTGTTGTTAAATTAGCTAATGAAGGTCATAATGTACCTGCATTACACATCATTAGCAATGGCCTTCCAGTAACAGATGGGCATATGAGAGAGTATGGGGGAAGGGAGGCATGTCCCAGAAGGTCTGACTTAGAGTCATGGTTTACTAAGTTGTGTGGCCAATATACAATGTCAATCATCATCTCAATTAAGTCTTTGCATAAAGGGAGGCTTCTGTGTTCGCTTCCCAGGAAACCTGTGTAGCCATGCTGCCTGTAGCTTGTTCTTCTCTTGTTGCAATTCATCTCATAAGCAGAAGCTGGTGATTCTGAGAACTGACGCAAAGTGCCGGGCCTTGGAGACCAGACCAATCCTTTGTGAACTCGTCTCTTGATGAAGCCCCATTCAGCTGCCCGTCTCCCCCAAAGAATATTCCTCACATAAACTTTCCTTAACCAGGTTACACTTAAATGTCTTTTTCTTCTGGAATATTCTCAAATGTATAGCAAGCCTGGGAAACTAGTACCTCCCTACACAACCATTTGATAGCAAGTTACCCACATGGTGTGCCTTTTGCCTTGAATACGTACGATGTTATTCTCACAGAAAATGATGTTCTTTCACGTGATCTCAAGACAACAAAACCAAGAAATCCCATTGCTGCATCACTCCCATCTAATCCACATACCCCACTCGGGTTTCCCAGTTCTCACTGAAATGTTACTAATGACAAAAGATCCAGTTCAGAATCACAGTGCCCTCCCATTGTGATGTCTCTTCCGTCTTCTTCAGATTGGTACAGCTTGTTAGCCTTTAACTCTCAGAACCTTGACCTTTTGAAGATGACATGCTTGATTTTTTTGTAGAATACCCCACAGTAAAAGAGTTGTCTGGTATTTCCTCCTGAATAGATTCATGTTAGCCGTTTTGGCAGGACTATAACAGATAGGCCCCTGAGTCTTCTCAATTGAGCCCATCTCGTGGCATGCAGCTCCCATTGCTGGTGATGCTAATTTTCATCATTTGATTAAGATGCTGTCTGCCAGCTTTCTCCACTGAAAAGTTTTTTTTAATCTTTGTAATTAGCAAGTGTTTTACATAAATGCCCTGATCCTCATCAAACTTTCACAAACTAGTTTTAGTATCCATGGATGTTTCTTGGATGAATTAATGATCATTATGAAGATTCCCCTATTCCTTCTACATTTATTAGTTGACATTCTAATTGGAGGAAAAGCTCTTTCTTCTTCCTATTTACTTATTTAAATCAGTATGAACTTATGGCTTATTTTATTTAGTGGGTTATAATTTGTTACATCATTATTGATTTTGATCTCAAACTGTCCCAGATTTGGTCAGTAACAGTGTCTTCAAGCTGATTCCTATGTCCTTTTATCATGTCTTCATTATTTTTATTTTTAGTACTTCTTTGCTTTCTAGTACAAGATATTCTAGGCTCTTATACTTTCCCTGCCTCGGCTATGGCATCAATCTTTTCTCCATTTCTTCCTTTTAGGTGAGCATCATATTTAGAAACTAAGATCTGGATGCCATGTGTGCTTATTACTTTTGGGGTGTCACTGCTACCAGGTCCTCTAATAGCTAGAGCTAGGGAATATAAGTACATAAATATGTATACACACAAGTTTACATTTATTTCTTTTTTAAAAAGATTTAGCTATTTATTATTTGAAAGGCAGAGTTAACAGAGGGGCAGAGGCAGAGAGAGAGAGAAAGAGAGAGAGAGGTCTTCCGTCTGCTGGTTCATGCCCCACATGGCCAAAACAGCCAGAGCTGGGCTGATCCAAAGCCAGGAGCCAGGAGCTTCTTCTGGGTCTCCCACATGGGTGCAGGGGCTCAAGCATTTGGGCCATCTTCTACTGCTTTCCTAGGACATAGCAGAGAGCTGGATTGGAAGTGGAGCAGCCAGGTCTCAAACCGGCACCTGATGGGATGCTGGCACGGCAGGTGGCGGCTTTACCCACTCCGCCATAGCACTGGCCCCACATTTGTATTTATTTCTATACTTAGCCGTATGTACTGAGAACCATGAGTTCACAACTATACCTCCCAAACCAACTCAACACCACAGGGTTCATCCTAGCTTTCCCTTCCACGTTTGTATAGCCCTTCGCCTACAGCAGAAACAAATCAGGCTACATTTTATTGGTAGATGAAAATCAGGTGAAGAAGTTCATGGATTCTAAACAGAGACAGAAGAATTAGAAGAACAGGAAATAAATAGGAACTTCTCCCTGATTTTGCTCTGTGAAAATTTCTCTCAAACCTGTGTCTCTACAATCTCATTTATAATAAAAGAGTACAGATGTTGGAAATGGTATAAAATATGGCTTTGTTTCTAGACATTTTAGGGGAAATCTACCAATGATAGAATTATGTAGAATTATGTATCCTTTTCCTTAATAGTGGGTAGTTAAAAGTGAATGATGTTTAACTTCAATAGTCATCATCTTTTTTGAAAGATTTATTTACTTGAAGGAAACAGAGAGAGACAGACAGACAGACACACACACACAGAGCAATCGTCCATCTATTGGTTCACTCCTCAAATGCCTGCAACCAGGCTACAGCCAGGAGACTAGAACTCCATCTGGCTTTCCCACATCGGTGGCAGGGACCAAGAATTTGGGCCATCATCCACTGCTTTCCCAGGTTCATTAACAGGAGCTAGGTCAGAAGTGGAGCAGCTGGGACCCAAATTGGCACTCATATGGGATGCTGGCATCACATGTGGCGGCTTAACCTGCTGTGCCCCAATGCCGACCTCAGTAGTTATCATCTTCAATAAGCCTAGAAGCATGCCCTCTTAAGTAGTTACTTTCTGACTTGTGGCCAGTGAAAACTTCAGAAATACTCCTGTTCATCAAGAATCAATGTTTCTTTTAATTAAAGGAGCTTAGGAGAAACAAAAGCCACTTTTCCCATTGCAGTGTTTGCACTTGTTCTTTGTTGGACAATACCAGGTTTCCATTAGCTTTGTGTAATTCAAGAGTCCAATAACCATTGTCAAATGCTGAAGATGTTACCGCATAAGTCTGATTTAGAACAGCTATTTGGATCTCAATTATTAATGAAATTAGCATCCTGAATGTCAGCGAGAGCACTGCCTTAGGTAAAGGCTGTAAAGGAAATCATATTAGGGTGGAACTTCCTCTCCTTAGGGGCTCCTCTTAGATTACATTATTCACTTAGCTGTCTCCCGCCAGGGAGATGGAACTGTTGGCCATAGTTGATCCTGGGACAGAACCAAGTGGGGAAGTTAAGCAGTTTCATGACGGCATCATTTCCAAAACATTCCTGTAGTGCTGATACTGCCTTTGGTCTTACTGAGTGTTTACAAAATAGCCCTAGGAAGGACTTGGCAAAAGAGGAGGGCGGAGTGGAGAGGAACCAGGACAGAAGAACTGAGCAGCACTCATTCCGGCAGTGAGTTTGCATTTCTCCCCTGTGGGGACATTCCTGGGGATGTGGGCTGCGGAGATGGCTGCTCTGTGGCCCTGCATCCTGGTGGCTGCCTCAGGTGAGTCCTGTTCGTGAGTGTCTTGGGCACTAGGTGAGCATTAACACTTAGAAGCTAACAACAATATCTATACCTGGTGCTACATAACTCTTTGTGCGTGTTTGTTTTTGTTTGTCATCTGTAAAATGCCAGTCCTATAAAGTTACATGACAATCACTGATTTGTTTCTGACTTTGTTCCTACAATTACCATTACACCCACATAAGCTGTCATGGTGGGACTTCGTTTACATAGCTGAAAATATGCTCTGAAATGTTATTGGTTGGTTGATGAATCTCTGCCTCTCAGAAATCAAGCTCTCCACAACTATTTACATTGAGGCTTGGGGGCATTCTGTTTCAGATTTGCTTTTATGTATGGGTAATGTGTTTTTATTATCCCCAGATAGTCTTGGCTTCATTATAAGCTGTTAGCAGCCCAGAGAAAGAATCCCTTAGATTTATCTTGGTGACATATGCTTGTGAATCATTTTGTTATCAGAAGCTTTACATCCATCCTCATAATATCTGTGTATATAGAGGATGGGTATATTCTAAAGACAGGTATATCTCATAAAATTATGAGTATATCTCATCAACTTGCAAGGTTTGAATTTATAGCTTCTCTTAAAAATACTTTAGAAATGAATTTTTTTTAATTCCTAGAATTGTTCTTCCATTGTGCCAGTATCAATTCTATTGAACTGAACCATTTTCTTCAGGATACAATTGAGTCTTTTAAAATACACAAAAATCAAGAATATATTCTGGCATTTTCCAACATTCCACTTTCTGTGGTTCTCCTAGTGCCCTGGAAGTGGAATGAGTCAATTATAGAAATGAGTAAGGAATTTGGTGGCCAAGAAGCTGGAAATGATTTTTTTTATTGGGTAGAGAAGAAAAATAGCCAATCATCATTAAGGTATAAAAATCCTGGATGTTGAATTTAAAGGATAAAAGCCATCTTAATTATAAAATTAAAACCAGGAAATTTTACTAAATACCAAATGGATTTCTTAGAATAAAATAATTATGAACATTAACGTAAAATGAAATAGAAAAGTGAAGGTAAGAAGAAATTTTAATGTCATTCTAATGTTTTATATTATGCTTGGTTTTTGTTCTAAATGTAGCAGAAAGATGTTTTTAATAGTGTCTAATAAGCATCACTTTTACTACAAATCTTAGGACATTTGCTGCTGAATGTCTACCCTTTGGAATTTTGCTGGGTAAACATCAAGGTGCTTGTGTAACTATAAGAGCACTGAGCCAGTCACGGCTGCTCCCTGGAGGCAGTGTGCTGGGACAGGAGGCCTGGAAGAGGAGAATGTTCTAGCTTCTGCTTTATATTCACCAACCCTGTGACCCTGGGCAAGTCAAACGATCTCTTAAACACTCAGTGTCCCTGTAAGTTAATTTTATTTTGAATATTCATGACTATCGAGTAAGATAGCATCGTGAAACTGTAGGGTGTAACTTAAGTTATTGTTAGCCTTTCTATTAACACTCACAGAGAGAGAAAAGAAAACTGGCTGTTGCTGCGGAGTAACGCATACCATGTAGCACATCAGTTTTCCTTTTGAGCGGTTGCTCACTGCTGTTTCCAATATTCTTGGGGACAGCTGGGTGGGGCTTTGAATCCAGACCAGCTGTGTTTCAATTCCAGCCCCTTTACCTGCAAGCTGTTTAACACCGGATAGGGCTCACTTCACTGAACCTATCATCCTTAGCTGCAGTAACAGTGCATGTCCCATAAGGCTGTGCAGCACCTAGCTCATAAGGTTTTTGTGAGCATTAAATAGGATCATTCAAATAAAGGGTTATTACCTGATGCCTGACATGCAGTAAATATTCAGTTAGTACTAGAGATATAATAGTACCACACAGCTAACACTGTTTCCTGGGAGCCTCTCATATATTGTTATGACTTTATCATCCTCAAGATACAGAATAACTAAAGAAGGAACAGCTCTTTTCATCAAAGTGCCCCAAATATTTTAAGATAGATAAATGTGAAAGAGCAATTCGTTCAAACAGGGAAAACAAAAGAATAATTCTATTGTACTCTTATCTTCTGCTTTTTTTTTTTTATCTCTTTTCACCTACAAGTGCTTCATAGCTCTGTCCCTAACACATTCCATTGCCCAGAAATCTTACAAGTGAATTATTTGAAGCTGATTATTAGCATTCAAGGAGGCCGTGTTGGCCAGGAATCTCTTCTGGGTCTGTTGATAGCTTCCATCAGTGTCTGTTGAAACATCACTGAACTGTGAGTCATTTAGTGCTTGTGTGAATGTCACATTAGCTTTCAAGGGGCATAATTTACTGTTAATTAATGGTCACTTAAATCCTTAATCTCTCTCCTATAATTGATCTCTCTCCTCAGGCCAATTTGTATTCATAGTAGAAATGTAATTTATTATTTCTTCCCATCTTAAACAAAGAGCTCTCTTTCCCCTTTTTGTTTATTTAAGCACACTTGCAGTTGCTTATTATTTTTCTCTTTTCATTGCTCGTTTCTCTTTGGTCCCTAGTCCCAGCTTCCAGAACTTTCTCTGTCTTTTTAACCTGAAGACTTTGGAACTTTCTAGAAAACATGTTTTTATCCACAGGGCACTTAGGGACTGTTTCCTAGAAAATATTGCAGGGGAATTTGTCTTTCTGACAGAGGGTGTAGGGATACACACTCCTGTGTGAGACTTATGTATCCTCTGTCTCAGGCACTTTCCTGTACTGAAACACACACATTTCAGCATTTTCCCAACTGAGACTTGACTTGGGGGCTTCCGAGCAAGTTGAAAGTGAAGCTCCCCACAGCGAAGTTTGCAGAAAGAGCACTGAGCCAGCTATGCTTTGTGCTTCTGGCTTCCCGTCCCTGGGGTATGCCAGTGAGTCCTCAGGTAGAGATTTGCAGCACACTTTTTGACGATGATTCTTCACAAAAACCCTAAAAATTATGCCCAATGCAAGCCATCTATCTTAGTCCTAAACACTTGAATAGCAGACACCGTGGTAGGCATCTCCTTGGGTGAGTATTTAGGGAGTTAAAATCCTCTTGAGGTGCCCAGTTCCAATGGTAATGAAAGCGCATATTCCACTGCTCACGGTGATCTGGAATTGCATGTCCAGCGTTGTTGTTAGCATTTTGGTCACACTGACATTGATAAATCATAGAAATTGCTGCCTGTGGCAGCCAGTGACACGACATCATTCATAAAGAAATGGGCATAAACAGGATTGTCACGCAGGGAGACGCGATCTCATTTACAGTTTCCTTCTGGATCCCTCACACTTTCAGCAGCTCATCAAAAAACCCATCAAAGTCACTGAGAGCCCAGGCGATTTCACACACAGGACACTGCAGAGAGATTTCGCTCACGCACCATGTCAGGAGGTGTGGAATTTGCTTCAGTCCAATGACTTAGTGCAGCTTTGAATCCCCTAAGGGATGGCGAAGCGTGTGAACAAAATATCTTTCTGCAATTCGGAGAAAGCCCTCACAAATTTGTCACTTCCAATTGTGGGTGCTCATTTCTCTTGCTTCCTTTCCCTGGCCTCACGTCCCTCAGCGCCAATCACTGTTCCCCTCTAAATCAAGATTCTTGGGTCAGAGGAAATGGTTGTTCCTTAGAACCAGAGTGAATTGGCCCAAAACCAAGATCTCATTTTCTGACAAGTACGTTTTATTTAAAGACGGAAGGAGTGAGAAAAGAGATTTTCGAGGAGAGAAGTATGAATTGGAATTCATTAATACCATTATATAGGTATCTTTACTGTTCTTTGGGTTCACAGGTTTCTGTTTCTGTTTGGATAGTCTATTTAATTGTTGAATTACAAATGGAAAATCAGAAGTAAAAAACCAAGGTGAGGGTTTAGTTCTGGCTAAATGTACAGGTGAGTTTCTTTTCTATACCAGGAGGGGGTGATACAGGAATAAAGAAAGGATTTTGTGTCCAAGATGCATTCGTGCTATCAAATGGAATTGTGGGTGCCATTTGCATCCTTGGGCTTGATTTATCTTTATAATGAGGTTTCTTTATTGGGCACTTAGGCCATCAGCTTACTGTAAGTAAGTGTCTGGCAGGGGCAGGTGTTGTGGCATAGCAGGTTAAGCTGCCACCTGGATTGCATGCATTCCGTATCAGAGGGCTGGCTCAGCTCCCTGCTACTCTTTATTTCCAATCTAGCTTCTTGCTAATGTGCCCGGAAGTCAACAGACGATGGTCCAAGTACTTGGATTCCTGCCACCCATGTGGGAGACCTGGATGGAGTTCTGAGCTCCTGGCTTTGGCCTGGTCCAACTCCAGCTACTGTGGGCATTTGGCGAGTAAGCCAGTAGATGAAAAATTCTCTCTCTCTCTCTTTCTCTCTCTCCCCCACCCCTCTCTTCTGCCTCCTCTCCCTCTTTCTCTCCTTCTTACTCTGTCACTCTACTTCTCAGATAAATAAATAAATAAATTTTCTTTAAAAAAGTTTCTGGCAAAGATCCTACTAGTTACTGAATTTATACAGACTGGGGTGAGCAGAAATCTATATATTCTACTCAAGAACCACCAAGTCCTGAACATTCTAAAGTCCCCTAAAGGTGCCCGGTGCCTCTTATTTTTGCCTCCACAGTGATAGTTTTCTTTTCCAGGAATTCTTGCCATAGACACTCCTCATCCCAGGAATTCTACTCTGTATCATCTCACCAAGCAGCTCTTAGAGAAATATCACAAGGAAGTGAGGCCAGTTCATGACTGGACCAAGGCCACCACCATCTATCTGGACCTGTTTGTCCATGCCATATTGGATGTGGTAAGGACCATCTTGCCCTTTCTTATTCTGGGTAGCCTCCTTTAAAACTACTTGCAGTTCATGAAGGAGCATGAGAGAGGTTATATTTTTGAACTTGTAGGAGAGTTGTTCTCTATTCATTTTAGCCATTCGTACTTATTAGGCAAATCATGCTTTCCAGCCTCCCAACTGACATCATAAGGGGCAAATAGTCAGAAAATGAATTTTGTGGAATTAAAAGGTTTTAAAGAATTGTTGTCAGGGCTGGTGCTATGTCGTAGAAGGTAAAACCACCACCTGGAATAGTGTGGAATATACAGATCAATCTAAGGAGAGAATTGCCACCTTAACAAAATTGTTTTACAATACTTGAACATGACATACCTCTTATTGCATTTAGGTTACAGCTGTATTTTCTGGTTTTCTGTGTGGAGGTTTTACATATTTATCATTAAGTTTATCCTGAAGCATTTTATGCCATGATAAATACTATTTAAAGTTCTCTATTTTCTAGTGATTTGCTTTTAGTATATAGAAATATGATTGGTTTTGTATGCTGCCTTTGTATCCTGTGACCTTGCCAAATTTGCTTTTCAATTATAGTAGCTTTTTAATAATATTTTTCTATCGGGGCTGGCACTGTGGAGTAGCAGGTAAAGCTGCCACCTGCAGTGCCGGCATCCCACATGGGCCCCTGCACATTCTTAGGAGACCTGGAAGAAGCTCCTGGCTTCAGACTGGTGCAGCTCCAGTTGTTGCAGTCAATTGGGGAGTGAACCAGTAGATGGAAGACCTTTATCTCTCTTTCTCTCTGCCTCTCCTTTCTCTGTGTTGTCCTGACTTTCAAATAAACAAACAAATCTTAATTAAAAAATTTCTATATATACAAGTATGCCATCTGAAAATATTTTTACTTCTTCCTTTGTGATCTGTGTGCTCTCTATTACTTTTCTTGTCTTATTGCATTGCCTAAACTATTACAATTTTGCACAGAAAGGGTAAGAACAGACAACCTTGCTTGTTTCTATCCTTAAGAAAAATCTTTCATGAGTAAGTCCAATATTAGTTACAGATTTTTCATAGATTTTCCTTATTAGGTTGAGGAATTTCCTTCCTTTTCCTTGTATGCTGAAGATTTTTTTAAAAGTATGAGTGCATATTGGATTAGATCAAATGTTTTTTCTACATCTATATGTCATTTTTATTCAATTTATTCAGTAACTATATTGATTGATTTTTTCAAATGTTAAAATACTTCTGTATACCTGAGACAAACCACATTTGGTTTTTAAAATATTTTATTTATTTATTTGAAAGGCAGGATAATGGAGAGGGAGGGACAGAGTGAGGAAGGGGGGCATAGGGAGAGCTTCCCTCATCTGGCTCACTTCTTCAAATGCTCAGGATAGGCAGGACTGGGCCAGGCTGAAGCCAGGAGCTGGCGACTCCTTCCAGGTATCCCACAGGAGTGGCAGAAAACCAAGTATTTGAAGCATCATCTCCTGCCTCCAGGAACATTAACAGGAAGCTGGCTCAGAAATAGAGGCGGAACTCACTCCTAGGCATTCTGATATGGTTTGCAGGTATCTCAAGTAGTGACTTAACCTGCTATGCAACAGCGTTGTCCACTTGATATATATATTTATATATATTATATTTATGTATATATTTCATATGTATATGAAATAAGATTTATTTATTTTATTTGAAAGAGTTACACAGAAAGAAAGGAGAGGCAGAGAGAGAGACAAAGAGAGAGAGAGAGAGAGGTCTTCCATTTTCTGGTTCACTCCCCAACTGGCTGCAACAGCGAGAGCTGCAACTCCTCTGGGTCTCCCACATCGGTGCAGGGGCTCAAGGACTTGGGCCATCCTCTACTGCTTTCCCAGGTCACAGCAGAGAACTGGATCAGGAGTGGAGCAGCTTGGACTCAAACCAGCACCCATATGGGATGCTGGCACTGCAGGCAACAGTTTTACCCACTATGCCACAGCGCCGCCTCCCCTCCACTTGATATATTTTTAAAATATATTTATTTTCATTTATTTAAAAAGCAGAGAGAGACAGACAGACAGACAGACACAGAGAGAGATTTTCTGAACTCTGGTTCATTCTCCAGATATCCATCACTGTCAGGGCTGGACCAAGTTGAAGCCAGGACCCTATGTTTAATTTTAGAGGAGATTGTTGGGGCCGGTGTTGTGGTGCAACAGGTTAAAACCCCAGCCTGCAGCGCCAGCACGCAATATGGGCACCAGTTTGAGTCCCACTGCTCTGCTTCTGATCCAACTCTCTGCTATGGCCTGGGAAAGCTGCAAAAGATGGCCCAAGTCCTTGGGCCCCTGCACCCCCATGGGAGACTCAGAAGAAACTCCTGGCTCCTGGCTTCAGGTTGGTCCAGCTCTAGCCATTAGCCATTTGAGGAGTGAACCAGCAGATAGAAGACCTCTCTTTCTTTCTGCCTCTGCCTCTCTGTAACGCTGCCTTTCAAATAATAAATAAATAAATCTTTAAAAAATTGTCAAGCTTTTAACAAAATATCTGTAACATTTTGTATATTATTCACAATGTATGAGAGTTCTATTTCCTCCACATAGCCCCTTGCACTTGATACTGTCAGTCTTTATCATTTTAACCATTCTTGTCGGTTTGAAGGAGTGTCTTTATTGTTTTATTTCCCTAAAGATTAGTGCTGCTGAACATTTTTTTTCTTGTGCTTATTTGACAGTTGTACATTTTCCTTGGTAAGACATCTGCTCAAATCTTTACCCATCTTTAGTGTATTAGATTGTTTATTACTTTATTATTAAGTTACAAGATCCCTTTATGTATTTGGAGCTTATTTCTGGTCTCTATCTTATTCAAGTAATATATATGTTTCCCTTATACCAATACAACACTGTCTCAATTACGGTAGCAAAACCAACTTGAAATCAGATCATGGGAGTCTCCCGATTTCCTTTTTCAAAACTGTTTTGACTTTTCCAGTCTTTTGCATTTCCATATAAATGAGTTAGAATAAACTCATCAATTTCTACACACACACACACACACAAATCCTTCCAGAATTTCAATTGGGATTGCACTGAATCTATAGATCCATTAGAGGAGAAATGACACCTTAAGTATATTGAGTTGTCAAATCCATGACTGTCATCTCTCCACATATTTAGTTAATTTCTCTTATTAATGTTTTATACTTTTTGTGTTTTACCCATGTCTTCTTAAATTTATTCCTAAGTAAATGGTATATTAAATTTTAATCTAGTTGTTTGTTTCTAGTCTACAAAAATACAATTGATTTAAATATGTTGTCTTTTTATTCTGTGACACTGATACCTCTTTTTAGTTTTAGAGGCTTTTTTGGGTATATTTGTTCATATTTTCTATGCAAAAAATGATGTTGCTCATGAGAAAAGACCATTTCATTTTTTTTCTTCCAATCTTTATACCTTTGTTTCTTTTATTGCCTTATTGCACTAGCTAGGACCCCAATATGATGTTGATTAGAAGAATATAGAAATCAATTCAATAAATGGTTGACAGCATTGCTAAAGTATTTTACATTGTATTCCAACTTTTGTCCAGTTTTCTGTTGATTTCATAAAGATGTTGCCCCTCTCTATGAAATCCTAAATTATCATTGTTTGTTTTTTTCTTTGATTATGTCAATTTTTGCTTCATGCGTTTTGAAGCTCTGTTATGACGCTTTTAAGATTTTATATCTTCTTGACGAGCCTCTCCTTTCCTCATTATGAAATGCCCTTCTTCATCTCTGATAGTATAGGGAGTCTTTTAAAAGTTTATGGGAAAATCCAGCTCTCTGCTGTGGCCTGGGAGGGCAGTGTAGGATGGCCCAAGTGTTTTGGCCCATGCACCCACATGGGAGACCCAGAGGAAAATCCTGGCTTCTGGCTTCAGATTGGCCCAGCTCTGGCCGTTGCAGCCATTTGGGGAGTGAACCAGTGGACGAAAGACCTTTCTCTCTGTCTCTACCTCTCACTGTCTGTAACTCTACCTCTCAAATAAATAACATCTTCAAAAAATTTTTTTTAAGTTTATGGAGAAACGGAATTAGAAAGCAAGGCAAGTTTCTGAGAATTTTTTGAAGCCCTCTGATATTCCATTTCTTAAAGTCCTTCTTATGCCTTCTTTTTTCAAGATATATCTTTGGGCCGGCACCGCGGCTCAATAGGCTAATCCTCCACCTAGTGGCGCCAGCACATTGGTTTCTAGTCCCGGTCGGGGTACCAGATTCTGTCCTGGTTGCCCCCCTTCCAGTCCAGCTCTCTGCTATGGCCTGGGAGTGCAGCGGAGGATGGCCCAAGTGCTTGGGCCCTGCACCCTGTGGGAGACCAGGAGAAGCACCTGGCTCCTGCCATCAGATCAGCGCGGTGCACCGGCCGCGGCAGCCATTGGAGGGTGAACCAACTGCAAAAGGAAGACCTTTTACTCTGTCTCTCTCTCTCACTGTCCACTCTGCCTGTCAAAAAAAAAAAAAAAAAAAAGATATATCTTTGCCAAACCTTTTTTTTTTAACTATTTATTTAAAAGGCAGAGTTACAAAGAGGGAGAGAAAGAGAGAGAGAGAGAGAGAGCGAGCGAGAGAAGACATCCTCTGTCTGCTGGTTCACTCCCCAAATGTCTTCAACAGCCCAGGCTGGGACAGGCTAAAGCTAGGAGCCTGGAACTCCATCCTGGTTTCCCACATGGGAGGTAGGGGCCCAATATCTGCTGCTTTCCTAGGTGCATTAGCAGGGAACTGGATGGGAAGTGGAGCAGCTGGGACTCAAACCACTGGGACGCTGGGAAGTCACAGGCACCGGCTTAACATTCTGTGTCACAATGCCCCTTTTATTTTCAACTTATTAGTGCCATTTGTATTCAAAGTCATTTCTTGTAGACAGCATGTATTTAGGTCTTACTTTTTTTCCAAGTTTTAATTTTGAAAAAATTATAAATGTATAGGAAGTTGCAAAGAATTACACTGGGAGGTCCACCGCTTGCTCCCTTCACCCAGC